GGCTGACAGAGAGTCACAGCTCTACTGAGCCAAGTATTCCCATAGCTCTCAGTAGTTACGACTTCATGAGCTTCTTTAATGATAAAATTCTAACTATTTGAAACAAAATTCACTATGACCTGCCCTCAACTTGCACCGACTTATCTCCAAACTCAGGAACCTTAGAAACAGCTGTAAAACCAGATATATGTTTAGACTGCTTTGCTTCCCTCAATCTTTACCAGCTAACTTCAATGATTTCTTCATCTAAACCATCAACCTGCCTCTTAGACCCCACCCCGACTAGGCTGCATAAAAAAGTTTTACCCTTAGTCAGCACTTCTTTCTAGATATGATCACTCTGTCTTTATTAACAGTTTATGTACCACATTACTTTAAAGTAGCTGTAATTGAACCTTTTCTGAAAAAGCCCAACCTTGATCCAGATGTTTTAGATAACTATAGACCTATATCTAACCTTCGATTTCTCTCTAAGGTCCTGGAGAAAGCAGTTGCCAAACAGCTGTGTAACTTTCTACATAGCAATAGTTTATTTGAGGATTTTCAGTCAGGATTTAGAGTTCATCATAGCACAGAGACAGCACTGGTGAAAATTACTAATGACCTCCTAATCGCATCAGACAAAGTACTTGTCTCTGTATTGGTTTTATTAGATCTTAGTGCTGCATTTGATACCATTGACCATCAGATTCTATTACAGAGATTGGGACATTTCATTGGCATTAAAGGAACAGCTCTAAGCTCGTTTAAGTCCTATTTATCAGAGCGATTTCAGTTTTTACATGTTAACGACGAGTCCTCCATTCACGCCAAAGTAAGTCATGGAGTTCCACAAGGATCTGTACTAGGACCAGTCCTGTTCACTTTATACTGTATATGCTTCCTTTGGCAATATTATCAGGAAACCTTCTTTGTTATACCTCTGTGTGTATATTGTTTAGGCTGTTTCCCTCCCTCTCTCTCTCTCTCTTGCTCGCTCTGTCTCTCACCCCCAACCGGTCGAGGCAGATAGCCGCCCACCCTGAGCCATGGTTCTGCTTGAGGTTTCTGCCTCTTAAAAGGAAGTTTTTCCTTGCCTCTGTCGCCAAGTGCTTGCTCTTGGTGGGAATTGTTGGGTTTCTCTAAATAACAACACAGAGTACGGTCTAGACCTGCTCTTGTATGAAAAGCACTCTGAAATAACTGTTGTTGTGATTTGGTGCTGTATAAACAAAATTTTATTGAAAATAGTACTGATAGTCATAATTTTACCTTACATAAAACGGTGCAATGTTTTTAATGGGCTTTTACCAAAATAATCAAATTACACATTTGTGTGCACAGTTGTGAAGCAATAGCCTGCAAACAAATAAATTTTTTATGCAAATTCTTAAGGTATTATGCTTGTTATTGTAATGCAGTTAGAAGTAAAAGTAAATAAGTTTTTTTCCACCAGGGCAGTAATATTTTATATATATGTAATAAGTTTAGCTGGCTGATCTGAGCTTCCATGCTGTACCGTTTTATTGCCAATAATATTCATCAGCTAACTGTATCACAAACCTAACAGACACATTTCTGTCCACGTAGCAAAGCCATAACACAGCGGTGGAGAATAACTACATGAAATTACAATTGAACTAAGTTACAATATTATTTCTACCATTACAATCCAAATATTTATTTTTTTGACCAGGGCAGTAAAAGTTTAGCTAGCTGATCTGAGCTTCTATGCTGTAGGCCACCGTTTTATGTAGATAGAAATGGCGCATTTTAAAGTAATAGAAACATAACAGTTCATTATGTAAGGCCTTTATACACCACTGAAAACACATACTGCATTTCTATAAATAAATCCTCAGAAATATTACACACTGAAACTTTAAAAGGTCTAACCAGTTTGGACAGACAGTTTTGAGTGCGCATATTCAGAGAGGTAGCCACCCAGGAGAACCTCATCAATTTTAAGGAATACACTTTTCATCATCAATGACATCATATATCAAATGTGTTGATGACAATAATTAAGACAACAGAAAGTCTGAATGAATGGAGAGGTAAGGGCTCTATCCAGAGCCAAACAAGATGGTTTTCAGTCAGGTGACAAGGAAGCTTACTGTATGTTCACATACAATGCCAATTTCCTCACGGTGGTTTTATAACTGGACAACTGCCAAGTGTTCACACACACAACGTGATAACACGAATAAACACAACCTGCAATTATTACAGTATTTAATTGCAATAAACGGATCAAATTGATGCCAAAATAACTACAATATGATGCTGATTTGTTAAACATATAATTCATGCTTTGTCAGGCCTGTCAGGAGGTCAGCAGGACAACAACTTTTAAAATATTTGTTTTCTGAATGGAGCCTCAACCTCAACTTCCCAGTTGTCAGTATTTCTCACTTTGTGTTTCTGCAGCACCAGATCTGGTAGTATAGTTTGAACAATAGGAACAACAAAGGCAATTACCATAATCCACTTGCATTCCTGAAGTCTCTGCAAGATCCCAATCAAAGACTGATGAGGTGGGCTTTGTTTTTACAGCCATATAAACTAGACATTCCACATATCAAGGATGCTGACAATTTTATTGCAGAGGCGCTGTCTTGCACACCTCTGGATCCCTACTGTGTTATGAATGCTCTCTATTTTGTGCTTTTCTTGGGTTATCTCTGTCATCTTAAATCCTTAAATTGCTCCTGTGGTACCCAGGTTGCTGGTTAATAGGGATGGAGGGACTGCCCGGAGGGATGCAACAAGAGAGAGAGCGGTTCGGTTAAGGGTCTATGGATAATGTACTGATTTAGCATATTGCGAAAACTTGTGTAACGAGGAACCCCATTCTTATAGAGGCAGGTGTTACGACCCCTCACTTTCTGCCTGCTGTGGCTTCATTGGTTTCTTCGTGCAGCAGCTGGCATTTTGGGAGGGCTCGTTTAGTAATGGGCTGACACCTGTGTAGGCCTCAGCCTAAGCTACATTTACTGTATCTCTCTCTCGTTCCTCTCTTTCCGTCTCTTTCCTAGGCTACCCATGCCCTGATTTGGGTTTGCTTGCTGTCCTGAATTACCGTCAATCTTCATTCATACTTTTCTCACTCATCCATGCTTTCCACTCATCACTGATGCCGCTTATTATCACATTTCATGTTCTGTAAATAGTTATGTTGTTTATAGTTTCTTTAATTATAAAACATCTTTTTGGCACTTCAACCTGCCTGGTCCCCCTTTCAATCACATTCTATGAGCTGGGATGTGACCCAGAGAATGGTTCGAAAAAGAGAAAATATGGTAGGGTCAGAATTTGGCGTCAACAACATGACAGCATGGATCCATCCTGTCTTGTAACAACGGTTCAGGGTGGTGGTGTAATGGTGTGTGGGATATTTTATTGGTGCACAATGGGCTCCTTATTACCAACTGAGCATCGTTTTAAACGCGACTGCCTACCTGAGTAGTGTTGCTACTAGCAAGGTGTACCTAATAAAGTGGCCAGTGAATGTGTGTGTGTGTGTGTGTGTGTGTGTCTGTACATAGTTTGTCTATTTTGTTGAGATTGTTGTCCTGTTTAATTATTACATATTATTCTAAACCCAAAGTCAAATTCCTTGTGTAAACATACCTGGCTAATAAGTGATTCTGATATTGCCGACTGACATTTGTCTTGTTGTTAGAGTAGATGATAGAGGTTTACTAGTTGAAGTTGTGATCACTCATCTATGCTAAGGTTAAATAAATCCTATTATATTTTAAAGAGCAGTTGTCTGTGGTTATTTGTGTATTTGTGTTGTAATAACAGCTGGTTGTGACGGTGAGTGCTCACATTCACCCTTCACTGTCCATCCTATTAATTCGAAATAGTGTTCAATTATTGGCGTTGAATTATTGGTGGGCAAATTTTTGAGACTGTTATCAGGTTTGGTTATTAATCCCTGATTCCAGGGTGATGCCCTGTATTTATCTTTATTTAACATGAGTAAAGCTGCTGGGCCTGATAACGTCCCTGGTCGTGGACTAAAAACAAGTGCCATTCATGTACTTGATGATTTTTAAGTGTCAGTAGCATCAGGAGAGAGTTCCCATCTGATTCAAGACAGCCTCCATCGTCCCTGTACCTATAAAGTTTGCAGTGTCTAGTCTGAACGACTACCACCCTGTGGCTCTCATCCCCATTCTGATGTAGTGCTTTGAGAAACTGGTTCTTCAGCACATAAAGAACAACATCCCAGCCAGCCTGGACCCTCACCAGTTTGCTTTCAGAACCAACAGATCCACAGAGGATGCCATCTCCATTGCCCTCCACTCAGCCCTCACACATCTTGTGGAAAACACCTCATCAGAATGCTCGTAGTGGATTTAAGTTCAGCACTGAACACAATCTCCTACATGAAACTGATCAGCAAACTCAGCACTCTGAGCTTGAGTAACACACTGCAACTGGATATTGGACTGACTCACACAGTTCAGATTGGCAGGCACACACCTCCACTTTAGTGCTCAATGTGTGAGTCCCCTAGGTCTGTGTGTTCCCCATATCGGGAAGAAAACAACAATCTCTCTGCAGTGGATGATCAAAAAGATCATTGGTACCCATCTATCAAGCATCACACTAAAAGACAGTACCCACCCAGCCACAGCCTGTTCACCCAACTACCATCTGGCAAGAGATACAAAAGTATCTGCTCTTGCACCACAAGACTGCAGAACAGCTTCTTGAGGGAGAGACTTCTCCATTCTCCAATAGTTTTATTTTGACTTATTTATCCACTCATCTACTGTAAATCATTTTTGTTTTTGCAAGTTGCATGAAGGTCATTACAACTTAATCTTGTTACACCACCCTGTGTTGTAAAATGATAAATAAATCTACCTTCTACCTTTTGTGCGTGCGTATATAACTAGTGCTACTGAACATATAACATTGGTATTCAGAAGTAACTGATACATATATATTTAAACTACACTTTAAATGTATGAATGAGTGCGCAAAAGAGACAGAGAGATCCTGACCTGTGTGACAGGAACGTAGAGAAGCTCTGTAGAGTTGAGTAGAGTCATGTTGTTATAGGGATGCAGCCTTCCCTCTGCTTTACTTTTACTGCCATCTTTTTCTTTTCCCTCAGTATGTGGAGCCTCTATCTCCCCCTGGTCACTCAGGCACTCAAAGAACTCATCCTCACTGTCGCTCCATGAGTCCCAGGATTTCCCCGGAGACACATCCCTTTTTGAAGTGGATGCAGTCATTGTTGTCTTTGTAGACTCTGGTATGTTGGGACCATTCTGGCAGTCACCGGACAGCCTGTGCTCTCTCTCTTTGCTTCCCTCCAGCACCTTGTCTCTGGCCCGCTTCCTCTCAATGCAGCAGTTCAGCATCTATACATGAACATAAGCCCTTTTAGACATGGGATACTTAACATTTCTATCTTCAGCTCTCTCTTACACTGGTGGCTTGTTGCCATTTAGACTACGTTCAGACTGCAGGCCAAAATGACCCAAATCCAATTTTTTTGTTCATATGTGACTCAGATCTGATTTTTTTACAGTGTGAACAAGCCAAGTCACATGGAATCTGATCTTTTCCAGTTCGGATTTGGGCCACTTTCATATTTAGTCCAAATTCCATACATATCGGATCTTTTTAAATGCGACCCGAGTCTGGACACTCAGATTGGAACTGATGCGACTTTGACATCACACTAGAGCAGCTTTTCCCCTGTTAGACAGAGCCGCGATGAACGAGAAAGCTCCACAAAAGCCATTATTATACATGTGGCTCTCTTCCTCCTCTACCTTGTCATTATCTGCTCACAAAATCCCTTTCTTGCACCTGAAATCCATTGGGTCATGAGTTCTCTTCTGAGTTACCTTCACCTCACTCTAACAGGGACACTTAATACTGAACATAGACTGTTTATGTTACTCCCTGATAAAAGAAAAATGTTTCTGCTGATACCGGTTGTGAAAAAAACAAACTGGACTACTTGGTTTAACAAGCTAGAAAGAAAGTCAGTGGAAAATAGCTTTGGGTTTTATATTTGATTTGATTACATTAATGTTCAAGTTCAGATTTACACAAAATATTTTATTGCTACTGTGTAAAGGGAATACTGCTGGTAAAAAGCACATTATTTGTTTAAAGTGTTTGCAAACCACATGTTATTGCACTTTTGTGTATACAGCAGTACATTTAAATTAAAAGTGCGCAATTCAGGCTTTTATCACGGCGCTGCCACTGTCTATTACTGCACTCCCTGGACAAACATTGTCTAATTTTTGGGAAAAAAGATCTCAGAAAGTAGCAGACAGTTTTGCAGTTGCATTGTGCATTTGAAGGTTGTTTTCAGGCTGTCAAACAGGCGTGAAAAAAATGATAGAAGCTAATGCCTACCAACACAGAGTAAAAGTGAACCACCGCATTACCCGACTATTGAGAAAAAGGACAACATTATTAAGGATCACACTGTTCCTGTATAGCTGGGTAGGTCTCTATTCACTGTTACAAAGCAGAACAACAGGGCTATATAACGCTACATTCAGTAGTAAGTTAGCTAACGTTAGCTAACTAACATTACATTAGCAACAATCCACAGCCTACATTTTTCTGGATTTGTTGTAGGTTTTGGAAAGGGAATAAATCATACGTCTCCTTTCAACTTCTCCTAGTAGCAACTGTAATTATTACAAGTGCCCCAGGAACAGCATTTGATCATATCTAGGAAAAATACAGCAAAAGAAAGCTAGAAAAAGGCTCCTTTTGCATAGTAATCAATGGAGTGCAGTCATGAAAGTGTTGGACCTCACTTAGAGGGAGTTCTATACTACGCTTTCATTGGCCAGCTGCGTATTCAGGGGATGGCTTATTAATCATGATTAATCGCAAGAAAATCATGCGCTACTAAAAATTTTAATCGTTGCCCAGCACACATTTGTATAAATGGCATTTATACATTTTGTATAAATGGCTACCTGGAGCTTCTGATGCAATAGACAACAGCGAAGATCAGGAGGTCCACCAGACAATCTGTAGATTAGGAAGCAAATGGAGAAGATAAGATATAAGTTGAAGCACATACACTAGTGTTTCAACTAGTGTAGCATTAAAGAAAAATTAAAGATTACCTTGCATACAATTTATATCTGACATATATTTATACATAGATTTTTGTATTTTATCAGTCCATGTTAAATAACAATAGCTGGTGATGAAATGTGTAAATAAAAGAGGATCAAGATATGCCAACTCACAAAAACAACTTTCAGGCTTTACAAACTTTTTCCTTGTACACTATGACAAGATACAAGGCGGTTGTGGCTATGTTCTTTGAGATAAGGCTCTCAAAATGTCAAACATATTCATGGTGCTATACCTATACCCCTTTCCAAACAAGCCTAAGCGCAGCCCAGGTGTGTATGTAGTTCATACCCACCCGTAGATGAGGTAGTTGTTTTCCCAGCGGTAGCGCAACTCTAGGACAAACTCCTGCCAGAGGTGGGCAACAGCACGTAGCCCGCCATGGTTGTAGTTGACCAGACACACACAGAGTGCCAGCTTGTAGGTCAGAGAGTCACTGGGTGCTGACTTCAGCTGGAGAAAAAGGTTCTGGGCACAGGGAGATATAAATCAGGGGGAATGGTAGATGGACCAGGAAAGTTTGGAAAGTTTTATTTATAAAAGGAATCAAATGTAGGGAAATACTTTTAAAAAGCTAACTTTAAACCTTAATTGACTGACCACAAGGCTGTAAGAAGTAAATGCACATTGGCATCCTGACACCACATTCATTTCAGCTTTTCTGCCAGCATTGAAGATTCTGTTTTTTGATACATGAATGAATTATAACTGAAATACAGATGTGTTGTAGAATTGCTCCATTTGTGCACACACATTCTAAAGGTTTGCACATTGTTATTATTGTCATTAGTGTTTTCAAATTGCTTTTTTTCCAATGTTTGAAGTTTATAATGGTTCTGCAATGTTTGAATGTGTATGCTACATATTCAAAACATACGTATGTTTTGCATCTAGGAAAACCCGACTTCATTGACCTTACATGTCACCTGGCTGGCACCCCAGTCAAACTGTTACAGTGTGTAAGTGATAAAAAGGCAAACATACATAGTCAGAGTTTTTATCTTGCTCGGCCTTCCCACTGGCATTTGACTGTGAAGTTTTATTCTTGCTATTCTCTGATGACTTCTCCACAGCAGCATCTGGGAAGAGATACTGAGACAGAGAAGAAAAAAAAGTGCTCTAATACATAGTTTCATTCAATTACACATTTACCAATCAATGAGTGTCCACCAAATCTCTTGCCCGTCACACAAATTGAATTTTGGTCTAACCAAGCCAAAGCCAGACTTTGTGCTAAATTGGTGTTTAGCAGAAATGAGGATACCTTTATTGTCCCAGAGGGAAATTGGGTTCTAAGTCTGCACGCGGTCGTGTCTCACAGGAAAAATATGCAGATGCATGCAATATATACCCTAAACATATAGTCATATATATCCACATATACATTTATGCCCCTCCAGAAATCTCACATACACATTACATTTATTTAGCTTAACCTTTTATCCAAAACAATTTACATTAGGTGTAAAGGGGCTGCTATGACCTGACAAAGAGGTTCCTCCCCAATTTTCCAAAAGTCCTCTGTCTGGAGCCAGATGGAAGTAATGTGAAGAGTGGATTGAGGTGGTCATCAGTGTCAGTCACTAGACACATGAAGGCTCTGTTGTTAAACCTACAGTGTGTAATATTTATCTACCCCTTCTGACAGTTGCTCCCACTTCCACTCTGGCAAACCATTCATTGCTGGTTGGCATAAAGCACAACACTACTGGTTCACCAGTGTGGGAATGTTGACACAGACACCAGATTTTAAAACTCTGGTATACTATGAATAGAGAGAGATTTACCTGGCAGTGATAGGCTTAATCAGCATGTGAAATCGTTTGGCAATGGCTTGAATGTAATGGACGTTCACTTATATGTAAAAGTCCTGCACTTTAACTTCCAGAAAGTAAAAGATGCAGATTTTATTTAGGCATTGATATTCAAGAGAAAGTTGTGGATACTCATGCTGGGTTAAAGCTTGTTTCTGTCAAAGGTGGGGATCCACACGGGACAGATTCTGATGCGATGATGTGATTCCGTCATGGAGGCAGGATCTAACACAGGGGTGGGGCTTAATTCTGTTACAAGGCGGAATCTGGCTCAGTTGCAGAATCCAGTTTAATTCTGTGACAGTAGCGGAGACTGATGCGTGGGCCTGGCCTGATTCTGTCACAGTGGGGAATCTGAGGTAGGAGTGGTGTCCATCATCAGGTTTGCTGTAATGAGCTGGAAAACAGCTATGGTCTCAAAAGGCTGGCCTGTGCTTGTTTAAATACTTACAGCTGAGCAAAACAGAGAAGAACACAATTAAATTTCAAATGGAAGAAATTATGTACCACTTGAGTGAAACTTAATCTGTAATTTCTTCCATTTGAATATCAGTTAATTTTCTGATTTATACCCATAAAACACGCAGCATGAATAACACTTACCAGAAGGACAGAATTGAGTATATCAGTGTTGAGTGGTGACTCATTAATGCGTCTGTGGCGTCGGATGTGCTTTCGGGCGCTGTGGACCATATTGGAGACAGAAAGTTTGGAGATTGGCACTGCTCCTGCTGGCTCTGTCAGCTTGGATAAAGCGGCGCTGATGTCACTATTTTCTGCAGGGAAAAAATAATTATATTAACCTGTTATCTAATATTTTATATTGTATTTCGGACAGAACATCAGGATTTTGAGTTTTGGGGATGAGTAATAGAAGGCTCTATGCAAACATTTCACAAACACCAGTAAAAGAGGTAGTAAGCGCCATTCTTTAGAATATGGCGCGCACAGTGACAACATAGTGAGAAGCAATGCTATCCTCTGTGTTAAATGGTACAGCCAGTAACCTTTACCCTCCTCTTCAGCCAATCCTCTTCCCAGAATCTCATCTGTAGACTCCTTCCTACAGCAGAGTTTAAAGAACTCTGTCAAAAGGTCACCTGCATGAGAAGACAAGTCAAAAAAATAAAGAAAATACTGAATTAATCTTTTGTCTTAAGGAAGGTATTTTTACCACAGGCACACAAAAAATATGTTATTCTCTGTGGTACTGTGTTTCCAGGAAACTCTATTAATCACACAGATGTAAATGCTTCGTATTTGTATTTCTCAAAGCGCTTTTACACTACATCTGCATTCAACAGTCATACACATTCATACACTGAGCCTAAGTGCTCAAACGGAAACTAACATTCACACACTGCCGCAACCAGGGGGAGCCAGGGATTGAACCGCCGACCTTCCGATTAACGGCCAACCCGCTCTATCTCCTGAGCCACAGCCGCCCCACAGAATTGAGGCAGAGCAGTCGGGGGACATCAAAGGATGGTTACAGTACCGCTATCCGTACAGTTACCATTAGCATGCAGTATAAATAATGGGTGGTAAAGTACAATAAGCATACCTGAGCTTTCTGTGTGGCTCGGATTTGATACAAATGGCAATGATCATTTACATTGGTAACTTTAGGGCACACATTCAAAATTCTTCCCAGCAGGTTTTTTGCTTTTCACACTGAGATTACCAAAAAAAACCCGATCTTTGCAAATGTTAAAACTGAAAATAAGTATAAAACACTTTCAGCAGAGTGAACATTAAAATTGGAGAGTTGAACCAACACTCACACTTCATGCCTCATGTGACAAAGTCAACGATGGTGGTTAAGACTTAGCCTCAGGTAACTCTAATGACCATAACGACTGTCGTTACAACAGCCAGGAGCACTAACAAAACCAAGTGGTATTTATCACTATTTATTTATCTAACAACCCCACAGAGGTTAAAAAGATAGGACTCCCTAACTGATGAAGCATAGGAGACAGGGGAGGAGGAAAAGAAGGTCAAACGCAACAACATTGTGATTCCATACGTGTCTGGAGTATCAGAGAAACTCAGGAGGATTTTTAACAAACATAACATCCCTGGGTTTTTTAAACCCAAGAACACACTAAGACAGATGCTGGTACACCCCAAAGACCGCACACCCAAACACAAGAAAAGCAATCTAGTGTATGCGGTCCAATGCAGTGAGGAATGCACAGACCTGTATATTGGGGAGACTAAACAACCACTACACAAACGCATGGCTCAACACAGAAGGGCCAACTCCTCAGGTCAAGACTCTGCTGTCTTCTTACATCTGAAGGACAGAGGACACTCGTTTGAGGACCACCAGGTGCACATTTTAGACAGAGAAGATGGATGGTTTGAAAGAGGTGTCAAGGAAGCATCTACACCAGGGTTGAGAAGCCGTCATTGAACAGGGGAGGAGGTCTACGCCACCACTTATCCCCCACTTACAATGCTGTCCTTTCATCACTTCCCAGGAAACTCAACAAACGTAACCTATTGGCCTCAGGTGAAGATACCAACGATGGTCGTTCAGTCTTGGCCACAGGTAGTCTTAACGACTGTAACGACTGTCGTCACAGCAACAAGGAACACTAACGAACCAGCGGTATCGATGACCCGGGATAACGACCCCACTGAGGTTAAATTGCTGAGTTTCCCTGCCAGTCAGTCAGAACTGAAGAAGTCCTTTGGATAAGGGACGAAACGTCTTCCAGTAGCTTCAACCAAGTCCAGTTGCCCTTCATTTAACCTTTGTTGGATAACTATGACCTGGATGACTGAGAATCTTCATAGACAAGCATAGGAGAAGCTTCTTCACCCAAGTTCAGTGGCCCTTGACTTTAACCTTCCTTGGATATCTATGACCTGGAAGACTGAGAATCTTCACAGACATGAGTGTTTTAAACAGAGAACCATTTACTCTTAAAATTACAAACAACAACATTAAAAGTGATTTAGATGGAGCCTGATGTTGCAGCTGTATACTACTGAGATCAAGCCCAATACTAGAGATAGAAGCCAATACCCTACCCAGTGGCAAGACACTACCAGGTTAAGGTGGGTCACATTGTAGTTAAAGTTGCTCAAAAAACTAATTGGGGAAATTTAGTATGTAAATTATTTTATGATAAAAAAAAATATGAATCTATTTGTCCAGTATCCATTTTTTTTAAATGACGGGCAGGAAGGCAGGTTTTATATGAGAGTATATTAATTTGTCAGAGGGTAGACACCAAGGGAAAAAAGAGTAAAGAGAGGAAGAGGAGGAAGAGGAAGGAGGTATGAATCCATGAGAGTGATGTGCTGCTGATACACTCATCCTTAAGGTATTTAGGTTTAGTTTCTGTCTGCAACTGTTTGCAAACCTAAAGTAACTGAAGCCAACACCAAGCCTGTGCCAGAACTACCTGTGCTGTGACAATGTAAACTTGAAATGTATTTATAACCATTGTCACAAAATGGGTATGTAGCAATTAGAGGTGGTTACCAAATATCTCAGTTTCTGTGCAACTGAAAAATATAAACCTCTAGAATGGTATAATTGCCTTAAAAAAAAGACAATTTCTATCAATATATTTGACTAATTTAATTTTTATATAGTATGAGTATAAACAACTGATATAAGAAGTATTTGGTACATAAAGTAAAGAGACTGAGACAGCTGAACTTAAAATCAACAAACTATTACAAAAACGGCTTCTCCAATAGTACTTTCCATTTTTGTCATGCTATATTATGACTGAGTGTAGATATCCCACTTCCTTACAGTGTTCTTCCCTAGTCTGTGGAATATTTAAATGTCTCAAAACAAAACAAAGTATGGCAGATCACTGCACTTGCTTCAATCAAACACTTTTAGAACATTCTTGAGACAAGATAATATGTATTGGAAACAGGTGAAATAATATCATCTCACTGACATAAAGTTGCAGTCAAAATTCAACCCCCACTGCCAATCAGATTTATTGTCATAACTTACAGACTTTCAGATTTCTGCAATCAACAAATAAAACAAAAGCAATTGAAATAAAAAATGTGTTTCCCCCAAATTTAACTGAAAATGCAAAACAGAACCCTTTCCAACAGCACAAATATGCACAACAGGTGTTGAACACATGAAATACCTGAACTGACTAGGGGTTTATTGAATGCCACATTTGATTACATGTTAGAAATCTGGCAAAATCAAAAAAATGGTCCAAAAATTTAAGAGAAGAGATCATTGACCTTAACAAACAAAGAACAGGATACATAAAGATACTGAAGGCACTGAATGTTCCTAGAGACACAGTTGGAAGCATAGTTTGCAAGTTCAAAGTTAAAGGAACAGTGATTACACTACCTGAACGGGGCAGAAAAAGGAAACCATCAACTGCTGCAAAAAGATTTCTGAAAAGGCAGGTTGTGAAGGCAGAGGTCTCACTGATTACAGTAAGGCACCAACTGAACACAGACAGTTTCCATGCCAGAACTCTAAGACGTACCACTACTTTCCAACAGGACAATGAGCCCGAGCATACCTCAAATTCCACCAAGGCTTGTTTGCAGAAGAAGCCATCACAGTCACCTGACTTGAACCCCAGAGAAAATATTTTCCGTGATTTGAAGAAGGCGGTTGCAGCACGCAAACCCAGGAATATTACTGAACTGGAGGCCAAGCTCATGAGGAATGGGCCAAGATTCCTCAGAAACTCTGAAAGAAGCTGGTGTCTGGCTATGCTTCTTGTTTGCAGCAGGTCAACAGAAAAAGTGTGCTCTACTAAGTACTAAAGATGCTTGCCATTACAGAGTTAAATAACTTTGAGACTGGAGAGTTCATTATAAGTTGCATTTTCGGCTAAATTAAGGAACTATTTAAAGCATTTGTTGTTTTGAGCTATTTCAATTGCTTTTGTTGGATTTGTTTATTGTAAACCGCTGAAAGTGTTTTCATTTAGACAATAAAACTGCAACTGTATGTTTTTACTTTTTACAGTTGCAGACATTGTGTTTGAAATTGTCTACAAGACACAAAAGGATTCATCTTACCTAGTAAACACTGAGGGTTTTCAGCTGTCCTGAGTCGGACTGACCAGTTAGGAGCTTGGAGAGGGTCAAGGTCACTGCCATTTTATACAAACAGAGCATATATGGTTAAATCACATTGACTGTTGATGGTCCATATTTATGTCACGATTAGGGCCCACAGACTAAATCTACTATAGTGTTTTTTCCCTTTAAGACCTGTACAGATGATATGCACATGGCTTCTGTATGTTTAATAAAACCCAAAGACAAAAAAGACAGCCTGAAATCACAACATTTCTTTCAATTAAAAATCCTGTCAAAGCGAGTTTATTGTTAATCTTTTTTCGATGTTGAAACAAAGAAAAAAGGATGAATCAGAAATCACAATCTTCCAAGGCTGAGTGGATGGGCCAGTGTACATGTTTAAGCCACCAAAGTTCAGTCACTAAAATAAACTAGCCTTCTTATTTCACTCAGTGTGTAGAGACATGGAAAGATGGGAAACCAGGACTTATAAAAACCACCAAGTGATAATGTGTAGTGTCCTTGTGTAGAGGAGGCTGCACTTACAAAAAACAATATAGTATTAATATAAAGAATAACTACAGAAATAGTAATTCTATGTTTGGAATGCACTTTTGAAAATTACTATATTAATACTAATGGAGTTTGCTATGGTGATCTCTTTCATATGAGTGAACATATAGTTATACTATAGTGTTTATATAAACTACGCACAAAAACTAAGGAAATTTGTGTTTGGTAGATTATTTATCGAAACAATGCTTCTTGTAAATAAATCTTTATGTCCCTTTTAAATGGTGCCACATTTGTAAGGAACATGCATTTGTGGGATGAGAAGCAGAGCAAAAATTAAATAGTAGCTAAATGTGCTGACAATTGAAAACAAAATGCCACTAAAAGATGTTACTCACTGCAGCAATCAGCAAAGTGTTCTCTGCGTCAACATTCCTCCACATGTTCAGGTTCCAGTGCAAGTGTTGCAGACACGGGCCTGACGGTAAAGAGCAGTCATGGCAGGCCTCCTGGCAACCCTATGAGACCGGAGATTGGCTGCGTGCAGTCTGTCCCAAATGGTCTAGGCAGAGAGCTGTTGGCCATATCGTCCTTCAAACCTTGACTGTAAATCTGTATAAGACTGCCTTCGGCTCCTAAGTTCTGACAGAATGAGTAAACAGCCTTCTTGGGGTGCCATCTTCTTGGGAAGCCCACTTCACAGCCTGTCTCTGACACCCCCGTTATATGGAACTTAGCCTTCAGTTTGCAGATGGTACTATGGCTCACTCAGAAGAATGCCACAAATTGCTTTTGGGAACACAAGCTTGAAGCTGCCCTATCACATGGAGCCTATCCAGATCAGTCAGGCATGTCGATTCTTGGAGAAGACACCAACTAACCACTGTAGCAGGGCCCATGCTCACAGGTGCTGACTATCAGGTACCTGCTGTCAGTACCTGGGGGTACCAGAAGCTCAAAACAAGAGTCAATAGCAACAGCAAAGAAAAGCTGTTTGGCACTGTCAGTGAAGATTCTGCAAATTTTTCATACTCAGCTGCTCATCCCAAAAATGCATGTTTCTTACAATCATGGCACCATTTAAAAGCGAGAAAAAGCAGTAGGCTTTCCAATGGTATACCATTTACTGCCAAGAAGCATTGTTACAACAAAGAAATATTCTACGAAACACAAATGTCCTTACTTTTGTGAGTAGTTTAGTATTGCTATAGTGTTTCCTGTGCTGCAGTGTTTATCACATTTTCCTTCAGATATAGAACCCAGGACACATTTACCTGTAGACATCATTATCCACAACTATGCCTTCCGTCAGATGAGGCCAAGTGGTTGCAAGATGAAGCTCACTTCCAACAGCAAAAAACAGAAAAAATATTTTGTTTTGGGATTAATATTAACATTCATTGTTCAACACTTATTATTATTTATTTTAGTATACTTATGTAAACATAGCAAAAAGGGAAACACATGAGTATGCAGAAACCAAAACACTGAATGTATGTACATAGGAATGTACTGTTATTGGAGTTACAATGAATTTACCTGATTGGCTCCTCACAGGCTCCAAATGGAAGCTTCCCAAATTCAACCCCTCCAACCTCTCCTCCAAGAAGTGTGTCAAAATCTGCCATAAAGTCAAACAAAATACACAATAGACATATATAATAAAACAGCTGAATTGCACAATATTGTTGTCATCAAAAACTAGTATTTACTATTAACATATAGCCATTTAGTTTTAACTAGCATTTATGTGTGACTAGCAGTAAACCAGTCAGGAATGCCATGACACATCTGAAGAAGTTACAGTATTTAATGGCTGATATAGGAGAAACCGCCTATGTCTGATGTCCCTTCCTACTTGATACCCAGTGCGTACAAATTGACTTTCATACATTTTCAGTGCCATTAGTGTAAAATGTGTGCAATGAATGAAGGACCCTCCATTATTTGTACAGAATTGATTACCATCCCCTCACAGGAAAAGGCTGTCCATTGTTTATGGACCTCTACTCATGTTACCAAGATGATATCATTGTCTTGTGGCCCATGCTGGCGATGAACTCTTGCCTAATGCGATGGTTTACATAACCATACTGGCTATGGTCTACTAATCCGTGTTTAAACCAAATTCAGGTATTCGTCTGGTTAGATCCATTCTGAAGCCAGGTATTTAAAAGTAACGTTTAATAAAAGTTCAAAAAATAAAACTTTTTTAATATTGTTTATATTAGTGATTGTTTGTTCTCCTGTGACTCATGTTTGCTTGTCACCTTTTGACGGTGTGACCTTTTATAGATTTCAGTGTGGTCCTGGATAACTTATGCACCATCTACTGTTGGAGCTGTTGTGAAGCTTTTTCATGTACTTAAAGAAGGTTGTGTAGACCAAAATGAAAAAAATAACCAGCATACCGGCAAAGTTCTTTTCAACACACACCATCATCCTGTTGTGTATGTGCCTACCTGGAGGCTGCTGTGGCCATGAATACTGCTGCCAGTCCTGGAGAATGTACGTAAAACGGATGGCAATGTTGACTGGAGGTAGAGGGGTCAGGGTGCAACCCTGACAGGAAAAAAAACAGAAAAATATTAGCTGTTGTCTGTCTGTCCTCTTTATTCTTGTCTAAAGATGGATCAGGCCTTTCTGACCCAATTTTCCTACACGTCTTAGAGCTGTTGTAAACAGGCTTAAGCAGACTTATCACATTCCTTTAAAAAACATGAATCTAAAATGAACTATTCTCCGAAATTAGATGGCGACACCCACACCGGTTGTGTTTCAGATTGTAATCCACACCACTATTTAGATTTTTTTATTGTCGACATTACTACAATCGACAACGCTGTGTGATTATAACAGAGACTGGAACATTTAATTGGCATTAAAGGAAATGCTCTAGGAAATCCTGGCTTCCTGTAAAATCCAGAATATAATTTTAAATCCTTCTTTTCACCTACAAGGCTCTTAATTGTCAGGCTCCATCTTATCTTAAAAAGCTCATAGTACCTTACTACCCCACCAGAGCACTGCAATTCACAGAATGCAGGGTTACTTGTGGTTCCTAGAGTCTTCAAAAGTAGACTAGGAGCCAGAGCGTTCGGCTATGAAGCTCCTCTCCTGTGGAACCAGGTTCCAGTTTGGGTTCAGGAGGCGGACACCATCTCCACATTTAAGAGTAGGCTTAAGACTTTCCTCTCAGGTGAGTCCTGAACCACTCCTTCTGCTGCTATAGGCCTAGACTGCCGGGGTACTTCCCATGATGCACGGAGTACCGCTCTCCTCATCTTTCTCTCCCTCTGTATGCAACCTCATCCCATTAAAGCATGTTACTAACTTGACTTCTTCCCTTTTCTTTTTCCCCAAACTTCCCATGTTTGATAAGAGCTCCAAAGAGATTTACATGCCAATATCCAGTCGTTTTAAGTTTAAGACCTTTAAGGCCTTATTTTTGAAATATGAAATTTAACATTTTACCCCGCGGGTACCCTGTTGTTTGTGTTATCCCACAAAGTTTGAATAGTTTTGCTGTAAAAAAACAAAACAAACTTGTACAGCTTCATGGAACTTAAGGTGCGTCCAGAGGACAGAGGTGTCTGCACACAGGGATTACTTAAGGGAGGAGCATACTATATAAGATATATATATATATATACTTCAGGGATCAGGTTTATCATGGGTGGTGATGGCGCAATGGATAGACACATGCCTTTGGTGTGAGAGACCCGGGTTCGATTCCCACTATGACCCACCATTGTGTCCCTGAGAAAGACACTTAACCCATGCGCCCAACCCAACGTGTGTGACCTCCGAGATCCGCTTTGGATAAAAGCGTCAGCAAAATGAATAAATGTATGTATGTAATGTATTAGTCATTGTCCACCTGGTCTCAACAAGAGTTCCTTGCTATCAGCAGCATGCTGCTCTGATGTGTTCGTATCTCTATTCTCTATACCCCAGCATCAGTGGAGACATCTGCTGGATTTGCACTAACACAGGCACCTAGTTTTAAGCCCTGCTGAAGCTGAGGTTTGCCAGCTATAGTTCAAATTAATTATGACATCCTGTGACAGTGACAATAAAAAAAGTTTAACAACAAGTTGATGTGTTTGAAAACAAAAAACCCTGGGAGGTCCTAAACAACAACCAACTGTACAAATAGGATTTACTTACTATCTTAGACTTAAAGATGTCAAGCAGGCCAGACAGGTGGTTGTATTGGCTTGGCACCTTGCGGAGGTGGACCATCTCAAAGTCAGTGCGTACACCTGGTCCATGACACTCTCCGGCATACATCCGCCTCCACTTCTGCTGGATCTGCACAAACATGGGCACCTGGCTGAATGCACAAGATAAAGAGGAGCAGGCATTACTATGCATAATTCAACATGCTCACTCTATCTCTTGGGTAATGAACCATAAACTGGACTTAAAGTACAAGGTAGATTTCATTTTACAACACAGGGCTGTATAACAAGTTGTAGTTCTCTTTATGCTACTCACAAAATCTATCATGTACAAAAATTAAATACACTAGATGGGTTGATAAATAACAAGTCATAAAAATAAAATTATTTTACATGGTGCAGTGAAGAGGATAAATATAGAAGTATCACAGCTTGGTGAAAGAAGCTGCTCTGAAGTGGGGGTACAACAGATAGAGTGAAGGGTGGAGAGATCAGCTTGGAGAGTACAGTGTTATTATCAGTGATTGGTATAACATGCCATTGAACCTAACCCTCTGCTCATTTATTATAATACTGTATTTGTGTTTATGGTTTAACCTGATGTCGTGTTTCAACTACCTTTCATATTTTTCCTATTAAGAATTGTTTAGCAATCAATATTTTCTTGTAACTTTTTAGTTAGCCGTTCATTCATCTGCTATTGCAGCGGCACTTAACACTTTCTCTCTCGCGCTATTACCAGCTCTCTGCATCATCTCCTCTTACTAGGTTCCTGAAACTTTACTGCCTCCAAGATTCCAGCTTGCAGGAAAACTCTGTGACTTCCAAATTCTCCATTCTCCTCTGTCTGTTCCCAAGGGGGAGATCTGACTCGACTATTTTCTAAAAGCTTTAACTGGAATGAAATTTTCCCAGACTAATTCTCCTTTGATTCATCTCAGCAATGTTAATAGTCACAAGGTCTTGCAATCCTTAACTGAAGTTATCTTTTTTGTTTCGTTTTGTTTAGTTATTAGGTTGTTTATTTACATACCTTTGATTGAGAAACAACAATTCAGTTTCCGTTGAAATCTTATTAACTTCCACTACTTTCAACGACCAACAGAGTTTGGAGGTTCGTCAAACAAGTTGGTTACGCCGCCAGTAACAGAGAGGACATCCACCTTAGAACACTGAGCCAGAGTTAACGGCCAAGAGGACTGTAAACTTTTCCTGTAGCCACCAGCCAGAACCCGAAGTAACCCAGGTCAACCCACTGGCAATTCCTTGGTCTTGCCAACGCTGTACGGTGCGTCAAGCCCCACCAGATGGCCATGAACACAACCTACCAAGACCACCAGCATGGGCCTTTGAAGTGACAGACGGCTGAGGAAACAACAAAGTAGTGAGGCAAACAAACAGTCTGTGATCAGGGTTGACCGTAAGAACCAAAAACTACATCCATTTGTTTCCTTTATTCCCTTATTCAATGTACAAACAGCATTTATATTAAACCCTATTAATTCTGTTCTGACTTCTGTCTATTGAATTTTTGTTGTTGCCTGATCAATAGGGCCCGAGCGTGAAACATGCGAGGTCCCTACTGGCAAGAGGAAGTGTCAAATTTTTAAGCTGTTACTACTGCTAGCGGGTTGGTCCCATCCACCTTAAAACAGTCTCCGAACAGCCGATTAACTCCATCGTGAATGAAGCCAACAGGATAATTCAGAAGCTCATCTACTGACCTCCGGCCAATGCACCGCAGCCACATCATGCCTCAATGAGCATCACAGCGCAAGGCCTGCCAATGCTGCTTGCAGCTTTAATTTTTTTTTCTGTAAAGTAAGCTTGTTTTTTGCGGCCTATACATGCTCAAAAACTCACCAAACTTTGCACACATGTCAGAAGTGGCAAGAAATATGTATTTTATGGGTCCTGCACATGAACATGGCAAAATAGAAAAATTAGCCCCTACGTCACACTTCAACCTTCATGCACGAAATCTTTTGAGTTTTTTTCCACGTGCATAACCGTGGCGTGTCATTGAAAATTGACGATTTGGCACAAAACAGGAAGTTGTTATAACTGTGTATATGCTCACATCTGTACCAAGTTTGACACATGTATGATAACAGTCCGGCCCTGAACATGTCTATATGCCAACATTCACTCAAAGTCACAGCACCTCCTGCTTGAAACAGGAAATGTCACATTTTATGCTATGATGGACTACTTTTAGCAGGTTGGCCATATCAACTTCAAAACTTGTGAGTTTTCAGTTAACAGTGTGGCGGCAAAGTTGGACGTTTCGCCATGACACAGAAAGTTGTATTAACTTGATTGCATGCACATTTGTATATGTACAAAATTTTACACGTTTAAGTCCACCTGCTGACAACAGGTAGGCCAACCCTAACCCTAACACACAATCAGCAAAGCAGCCCCCATGGCACATTTCACCTACATATGTGAAATTTCTGTGGCACGTGTCCAGACGTACCAAATAGCCTCTTGGAGCGATGCCCTAAACCCAACAGGAAGTCGACCATTTTGAATTTGATGGTAATTTTTGGATGATTTACACTCACACCATACTTTAACAAACTCCTGCTACAGAATTATTCCGACCAAATTCAGATTTTTGCAGTCTAAACCCAGTGACAATTAAAAGTTGCACAAACGGTGAGTTTTCGTGGAACAGTGTGCCCGTGGCGTCCAAAATCGATGATTCTTCATGAAAAAGGAAGTTGTTGTAACTGTAGTGTACATGGTCAAATCTGAACCAAACTTTATATGGTTGATAATGAGTGTATATGAGATATGAGTCCCGCCCTGAACACATCTACAAGCCAATATTCACTCGTAGTCACATTGCCACAAGCTGGCAACAGGAAGTGACTACTTTTATGATGTGATGTACCACTTCTTGCAGATTAGCTGTATCTACTTCAAAACTATTTCAGGGAAAGGTTGAAGTCCCTACCTCTATCCCTAATTGGACGAGTAAACAGCATAAAAATGGCTGTCCTACCCAAATTTCTTTACCTATTTCAAACAGTCCCAACACCAGTTCCAAAAATCTTCTTTAAAATATTGGATAGCCAAATTTCTAGATTTCTGTGGAATGGTAAAGCTCCAAGTGTCAAGCTTAAAACTCTTTGTTGTCCCACAAAACAGGTAGGGCTTTAACATACCTGATTCAGTTGTATTATGTGGCCGCCCAATCCAAAGCTACTTGGACCCAACACATCGAACAATCCCACATAAGTGAAGCAATATTAAATATTCCATTTATTTCCTCTTACCATAATCTGAAAACTGTAACAAATCCAATGATAAAACATACGACCTATACAAATTATGGCATGATACTATAATAAAGTTCCAAAGTGCCAGGAAAATATAGGAAAATAATAAAAAAGACCCCCCCATTCCACTTTAATCCTGCTCTACCTGGGTCAATGAGAGATGTCATTACAAAGGACTGGTTTAACAGGCGTATATGTACATTTGGACACCTATATAAGCTAGATCATCTGAAGTCCTTTGAACAACTGAAATCCTCCTATGGGCTTCCTTCGAATCACTTTTATAAATTCTTGCAAGTCAGGGACTTTAAAAGAGTGCAACAGTGAGTGTATGTTGTCCCTCTGGAAGAATTAGACAAAATAATTCAAGAAAAACGCAATCGTAAAGTTTTTTTTCTGCCTACAGAAGTTCATCTCCCTTACGAATAATACAGTTCTTAGTACAAGAGTCAGATGGTAACAGGACTTCGGCGAGGCTTTTGAAGATGCTGACTGGTGGCCTGAATAATGGCCTGTAGATGTGTTCGGGGCGGGACAGTTATCAAGCACATAACATTTGGTACAGATTTGAGCATGTACAGTGACATCTGTGAAGGTTCTTAGTCATCCAGGTCATAGTTATCCAACAAAGTTGAGGTCAAGGGCAACTGGACTTGGTTGTACAGTGACGTTACGACGACTTTCTGCTTCAAGTACGTTACTTTATCGCCATGCCACGAATACACCATTGAAGGAAAACTCACAAGCTTTACAACATTACATCATCAATGTCTTAAGGGTTTTCTGAGATAGTTTTGAAGTAGATATACCCAACCTGCAAGAAGTGCTCCTTCAAAGCATAAAAGTAGTCACTTTCTGTTGCCAGCAGGTTACGCTATGTCAATGACTACCAGAAATCTGAAGTTGATCGGACTAATTCTCTAGCAGGAGTTTGTTAAAGTACAGAGCCCATAAATCACCAAAAATGACTACTAAATTCAAAATGGCCGACTTCCTGTTGGGTGTCAGGCGTCACTCCAAGAGGCTTTTTTGTACGTCTGGACATGATACATGTGCCACAGAAATTTTATACATGTAGGTGAAACGTGCCATGGGGGCTGCTTCGTTAAGGTCACTTCCTGTTGCCAGGAGGTGGTGCTATGAAACGTCAGAAATGTTGGCATGGACATGTGTTCAGGGTGGGAATCTTATTAAACGTGTAAAATTTGGTACAGATCTGACCATGTATAGTCAAGTTACAACAACTTCCTGTGTCATGGCAAAGCGTGGAACTTCGCCGCCATGCCACTGCAACGCGGTTAACTGAAAACTCACGTTTTGAAGTTTACAATGTCAATGCAATAGGGACTTTGCATGCTTCGTGCTCGGGCCCCAATAATTCCTTCAGTTTCAATAGGGACCTCGCACAGTTCGTGCTCTGATCCAAATAACCCGTTCGGTTCCATTTAAATCTTATTTTCAAATGTTTAAACCTTATTTTTCAGTTTAATAACCATGGCTTACACTTTCAAAACTAACCAACCTTTCAAATTTTTGTTTTAATGTTTTGTTTAACCACTTACTAGGGTTGGGCGATGTTTACAAAATTTCCATTGGACGATGCCTACATTGAAGCAGTAGTCTTATGGGCATGTGTTTACATGCACAGACTTCACTCGGCTATGACGTTGCAAGTCGTGGTGGATATTTTACAAGCACGGACAAGGTAAAACAGCAGTGAACACACAGGGTGCAGATGTTGGTCTCTGTTGTTTGACAGGCTGCGATTACACTCTGGTCACATGTAAATGCTCTGTACTTGTATAGCGCCTTTCTAGTCTTTTCGACCACTCAAAGCGCTTTTACACCAGTCTCACACTGAGCCTAAGTGCTCAAACGGAAACTAACATTCACACTCACTCTTACACTGGCGGAATAGCCGCCAGGGGCAATTCCGGGTTCAGCATCTTGCCCAAGGACACTTCGACAAGCAACCAGGGGAGCAAGGGATTGAACCGCCGACCTTCCGATTAACGGCCTGAGCCACAGCCGCCCCAAGAGTAAAGCAGTCTGCAAACGAAGCATCAACTTCGCACATTACGCTGTACCTTGACTTGTTGTTGTACAATGGCCTTAAGCTTGACAGAAGCTGACACTACAGAAACTTTAGTGTCACCCAGGGAATGAAAGTAGCACCCGCCACTGCAGGTAACGTGGTGGTGGGTGAAATCATCGGGCCATCTGCCGCTTTGGCAGACAGGAAAAATGTGTGTAGTAAGGTAAGCATATTGTGGCGGTCACCAGTTAGTTCATAACATTTACATTTATTCATTTAGCTGACGCTTTTATCCAAAGTGACTTACAATGGCTAGAGGTCGCACACCTCTGGAGCAAGTGTCTTGCTCAGGGACACAATGGTGGATGTGTCACCTCAGCCGGCCAGCAGATTTTCAATCCCCCGCTCTGCCTGGCCCTCTCCACACAACGCTCTGAAGCCTCGGTGACGTACGGACAATCTCAACACCGATAGGCTATCGCAACTCAGCGTCATGAGAGTTCTTCCTTTCTGTTGCTGGTCACAAACTACTTACCGCCGCCGACAGGAAATCGCGGCTTTGACTTTGTATGTAAACTCACCGCCCCGAACGCTTGCTTTGCTTTTGGTCTGAAAGCAGCTGACAGGAGTCAACCAAAGCATGCAGAACAAACTACGGAGGGTATCCATGTCAACGCTGAGTTGGTGATTTGTCACATGAAATACATGATTTAAATAATAACAAAGTAGCCCTCATCACTTCTCCTTTCTGAAAAATATTCATGACCATACTTGCTAACCCTCCCCTTTTTCATTAACCTCTCCCAGTTTTCTCCCAGGGCACAGCATGTTTAATGCATATCGGATTTTGAAATCTTTGAATATTGAAATCGGTAACTCTTAAAAATCAGTCACTTTAAGTCACTCTTCACCATCCAGACTAGAGCTCGAACAAATCAGTATGCTAACTGCAGATAAATTGGTATCTTTATTTAATTAGAGCCGATGAACTGTTGTCATGCTTCACTGTGATTGGCACAGCTGTTTCAGTTATGAGACCAGTGATGTGACTGGCTGAGAGTATATGTACTAATCTTCATTTCCTCTGATTCATAATCTGCTGCATATACATCAACCAAAATAGCAGGTGTGCTTGGAGACACCTACTACTCTGTGCTAGCCGCTGGGCATGCATGATTAAAATAGGGCCCTTACAGTTGATGTTTCTGGCCATTAAGTACACTGTAGGTCATTCATACCTGCATTGATTTGATTAGATTAGGGTTCAAATGTCAAATTTCTCTGACATTTGTCACAAACAAAACAAAACCTTCAAATAGGTGACATAACAAAACTACAAACAACATTTGTATTGTGATGATACATTGTATTGAGTTCTCCATAACCTAATTTGCAACATTAATGCCTTAATAAAAAACACACAGAAAACAAGATCATTGCCATGAGTGATGGTGGTGACTCACCAGCCACTGTTGGCCAGAGAAATGGAGATGGAGCTGAGAAGCAGATTGCATTTGGATTCACTGATGATAGCCTCGCAGTTGGTTCCAGGAGTGATGACCACAAACTCTCGTATGCCATACCTGTCACCACACACACCGTTACAGCAGAACATACACATCAGCATCAGATTTTTCATAGCTTCGCTATCTTTCCACACCTGGTCTACCAAGCAGTTTGCATCTCTGAAGTGTGTTATTTAGTCATATACTTGGCATTAGCTTCATACAGTATTTAATGATACAGTAACTCACAAAAGTGAGTACATTCCTCTCATTATTGTAAATATTTGATTATATCTTTACATGTGACAACACTGAAGTGACACTTTGCTACAATGTAAAGTAGTGAGTGTACAGCTTGTATAACAGTTTAAATTTGCTTTCCCGTCAAAATAACACATCACACAGACATTGATGTCTAAACCGCTGGCAACAAAAGAGAGTACAAATGAAAGTGAAAATGTCCAAATTGGGCCCAAAGTGTTAATATTTTGTGTGGCCACCATTATTTCTCAGCACTGCCTTAACCCTCTTGGGCATGGAGTTCACCAGAGCTTCACAGGTTGCCACTGGAGTCCTCTTCCACTCCTCTACGATGACATCACAGAGCTGGTGGATGTTAGAGACCTTGCGTTCCTCCACCTTCTGTTTGAGGATGGCCCACAGATGCTCAATAGGGTTTAGGTCTGGAGACATGCTTGGTCAGTCCATCACCTTTACCCTCAGCTTCTTTAGCAAGGCAGTGGTCGTCTTGGAGGTGTGTTTGTGGTCATTATGTTGGAATACTGCCCTGCAGCCCAGTCTCCGAAGGAAGGGGATCATGCTCTGCTTCAGTATGTCACAGTACATGTTGGCATTCATGGTCCCCTCAATGAAATGTAGCTCTCCAGTGCCAGCAGCACCAAGCTTGACTGTAGGCAAGACACACTGGTCTTTGCACTCCTCACTTGGTTGCTGCTACACACGCTTGACACCATCTGAATCAGGAGCTTTATTGCCAAGTAGTGTTTTACACATACGAGAAATTTGCTTTGGTGATATGTAGAAATATATAAATATGGAATAGACAATGCAAGTTATGTAAGAATAATAAAAAGAATAGAGAAAAATAGTGTAGACGTATTGCAAAGGAAGAGAATATTGTGTACATAAATATATAAATTGACAATATGAACATATACAACAACAAAGATTAACAATTAACAACAATTTGTGCAATGTGCCAGGCATGCATTGTGCATGATATGAAATTAAATAATATTTACATGTGCAGAGACATTTGTATTATTTGCAAGGGGGGAGCATCAGTGGGGCAGTGATTGACAATAAGTACAGTAAGTTTCAAACCAAAAAAGTTTAGCCCTGGTGGAGGACCTGGGCCTTGTTAATAAGGCTAGCTGCAGATGGGAAGAAACTGTTTTTGTGGCGAGAGGTTTTGGTCCTGATGGACCGCAGCCTCCTGCCAAAGGGGAGAGTCTGAAACAGTTTGTGTCCGGGGTGGGAGGAGTCAGCTGCAATCTTACACCTCGCCTCAGATTCCTGGAGGTGTGCAGGTCCTGAAGTGATGGAAGATTAGAACCAATCACTTTCTCTGCAGAGCGAATGATACGCTGCAGCCTGCCCTTGTCCCTGGCAGTGGCAGCAGCGTACCAGATGGTGATGGAGGAGGTGAGGATGGACTCAATGATGGCGGTGTAGAAGTGCACCATCATTGTCTTTGGCAGGCTGAACTTCTTGAGCTGCTGCAAGAAGTACATCCTCTGCTGGGCCTTTTTGGTGAGGGAAGTGATGTTCAGCTCCCATTTGAGGTCCTTGGGAGATGATGGTCCCAAGGAAGCAGAAGGAGTCCTGTTACAGAAGCTGTACACTCACCACTTTACATTGTAGCAGAGTGTCATTTCTTCAGTGTTATCTCATGAAAAGATATAATTAAGTATTTACAAAAATCACTTTTGTGAGATACTGTACATGTCTTAGCCATGGTTCTAAAATATAGACCGATAATTAGATTGAAAAATCATTCCATTTAATTGCAAAAGAGCAATGAACCTACTGTTTTTGTACAGATTATTAGGGCGCGAGCACAAAAGTGCCAAGGCACCAACAGCTTCTGGCACTGAAAATGCACCCCCTTAAAAATTTCAGCGCAGCGGCTGTGTCATCTCTAAAATTCTTCGAGCCTTACCCCAAACCTAAAAGGAAGCCATTTTGAATTGAATGAGATTTTTGCCATTGGACTTCAAATTTGGGCAGTGCAAACTTAAGACCTTTGCAATGCTAAATTGCAAATCTTTTTAGGATTCATCAAATGGTGTGGACCATGTTGATATTTGATGTTTCACCATGAAACAGGAAGTAGTGTGTAAATGGACTGTACAAGGTCAAATCTGTCCTGAACTTCACATGCTTTATAAAAGTCACACCCTGAAATGCCAAAATTCGGTCTTAGTCATAGTGCCACCTACTACCAGGTGTTTTACTTAAGTCTACTCAAGTAAAAGTAAAAAAGTAGTTCATTTAAAATGTAATGGTTACTTTTTTTTAAACATCTTAAAATAATTTATTTATACTGATTTAACTTCTAATTTATACTTCTAATTGTTTACTTCAATCACAGTTTTCTGCAATTTGATAAGGACACAAAGCCATATTGTGCTTTTGATTTTGATTTTAGTTTGTTTGACAGGTACTTTGCCAAAGCAATGGCCCAAAATAACGTTAAATACCTTTTATGTTACAATGTGAACTTTTGAGAATGTTTTTGCTTCATGCTGAAACTGTGTCAGAAAAGATCAGACTGTGGCGGGCCGCATTGGACTGTTTATGAAGTCATA